AGAATATGCCTGTAAATAAGGTCTTTGTTGCATTGTCAAGGAATAATTCATGTGGCAACTAGTAATCTATCCATGTACATGCTAACTCACTCACTCACTCATTCAAGGAACATATACAGTGTACCAGGCATAGTGGGGGACATGAAGATGAAGGCCTGATACTCATGGAGGTCAATGTCCATGGCATGGTATGAAGAGGAGAGCTCAGGCAGTCAGCAGAGAGCAGGGCCCTGGTGAGTAGGGGTTAGAGCAGGCTTTGTAGATGAGATAGAGCTCAATCTTAGTCCTAAAGATTAAATTAGAGACTGCTCTAGTTAGACAGGTTTCTCTCCCTGGTCCATGGCCCTGCTTTCTCTGAGCTCTTCAGAGTTTACTAGCTCCTTAAGCTCTGGGCTGTAGCCACACTACAGTAATGGAGCTCTCCTACCAAACACTAGTTTCACTGTGTTCCTCGCTGCCACCTGAATACAGAGTAAAGCATTTCTTCAGTGAGGAAACGTAGCAAGAAATTAAAACCCTAACCAATATATCTTGTCTCTATCCTTCTTCACTGCCCCTTTTTACTGCCATCCCAGGTCTTCTGGGTCTCACAGTCTGGGCCCACAATGAAAAGGACAGAGAGAGGAGACAAGGGCCAGGGCAGCAGATTCCTGGAAACGCTTCTCTGTCTACACAGGGTCTGCAGGAATTTCCATGTCAGTGATGTATCTGTGTGTGTGAGGGTGGGATAGGGTAACAGAGGAACTCAGATATTCAAGAGGTCACCTTGGGCGTCATAGGCTGTGTCAGATACGGTTCGGTTTAGCTCATGACAGAATCCCAGGACACTTGCTCTGTCAGGCACCTTAGAGGGCACTGGGCCAAGCAAGATGAACAGGACTTTGTCTCTACCTTGAGGGGTTTTTCTTCGAATGGGAGGCACACATATGCACACAGGCTTACACTCTAATGTGGAGCATGCAAACAGCCATTTTTCAGTCCACAGTGGTCAATGCAAATATATACACAAGAGGGATGGAGAGGAAAGATTTGGGGGGATAAAATCACTGGGTCAAAGTCATCGGTTGGAGGAAGCGAGGGTGAGCATGTAGAGAAAGATGGTAGCATCCCTTTCATAAGTCTGTTGCTCATTTGATCTGTGTCCTCAAGCAAGCTCTTCCACCCTCTGGTTTCAGTATCCCATTTACTCAATACACGAATACATTTTCCAGGTCCTATTTCTGTGACAGGATAATACTTCAGGTGTCTATTGTTTCTTATTGCTGTTATTTATTCAGCACCTACTATATGCCAGATATCAATGAGCATTTTAGATAACATTTTGTACAATCTTTGGGCATCTAATAATGCATGGACATTATCTCCACTTTAGATAAAAGGAAACTAGGACTCGGTGAGAATGTGTGATATATTCTCATCCAGGGACCCTTTGCAAAGAGAACATTGTCTTAAATGAATAATTGCCTTCTAGAAATGTTTGTTCCAACATCATATTAGCTTAAAGGGGCATGCCATGGTGCTTGCCATCCTGGTGTGAAAAATCAGACATGGCTGGTGTTAGTTTTCACTGTTTTGTTGGAATGTCTGTGGCTGTACCAAGGACTGAGCCAGATGCTTTGGTCCCCTGAGGGGGCAGGGGATGGGGCCAGGTGGAGAGGTGGGTGATGGAGTGCTAGATAAGCTTAGAGTAGCCTAGATCAGAAAAGGAAGGTCACCAGGAAAGAGCACTCAATGTCTGATAGTTGGCTTCTTATGTTTGTAAAATGAAAAAACCTCAGATTAAAAGAGAGAAATCACATATCTACCCAGAAACAGAGGCAGGGTGCACAGCTGTCACTCAGGGCCTTTACCCCAGTGGGACCCCAAGACTGCCTAGGGTTCTTGAGAGAGTTCTGCCCTTTCTCCAACCCCCAACCAATTAAGGCAACAACTAAGGACATGGTGAGGCTTTCTCTGCATCTGGGTAATTATATTCTCATCAGGAGCCTGTCTGCCTGGGCTATGAGCATTAGTACTCCAGTACAGTTAGGAATGTGCTCTCCCAGTGCTACTAACTGTGGCCAGAGTGAGAAGGGGGTGACACCAGTCCCAATGCCACTCCCAGCTGCTCCACAGTTTGCAGAGTGGACAGTGATCCCTGCTCCCTTACACACTGGATCCTTCTCAGAGTGGCTCCCTGAATACCTGCACCACACCCCTGGAGCAGCCTGGTGCTGGGTGCTGGGTGCTGGGCTGATTAAAACACTGCCTGCTGTCAGCGATTATAATGGCTATAATAAGAAAAGTCATACTAAACCTCCAAAAGAGAGATACTAGGCAAGAGGAGACGATTCTGCCTATCTGGGGTGTAGAAGGCTCCCTGGAGAAGGTAGCATTTATTATGGAGGATGGGAGGAGGAAGTAAACCCCAGTTAGGTAGGGGACTTTCAGACAAAGGATCAGGCTAAATGGAAAGGGGGTGTGTGACTCTGGAACCCTTGCAAGGCCTTTCTGATTAGGGTTGTTTTAAATGAAATAGAAAGAAAGAAGTGGGGGCTCAGATCCAAAGAGTCTGGATGCTTCTTAGCACTTAAGGAAGCAACTGCTATGAGATGTAGGTTTTAGAATCCACCACTCCCTCTGGTGGAGAACTCAAAGAGAGTGCTGGGTGACAGCTCTTCCCGCTCACTCCTCCTCACCCCCAGTATACCCATGTGGCTCCCTCCCCAACTAGCACTGGATTTCAGAAGAAGGTGGGCTAACCTGCCTCTGGGAAAGGTAACAACCACCTTCGCCTTCATTCCAGATATGACAGAATTGGCCCTACTGTTAAGTGACCTTCCCCTGGGAGACCTCTAGCTCCCTGGTCTAAGGGAGGCCCTGGCATGAAGATGCAGGCAGTAGTTTGAGACCAGATCACCCAAATCTTTCTGGAGTTCTCTGGGCAGAGGCTCCAGCTCAGCACTCCCAAGACCAGCCCCACTCATCTCCCTCTCATGGAATGGAGGGTGAGGAGGGTGGTGCGCCTTAAGAAAACAGTTGTGTGGCCAGATGCTTTATAAGGGCAATCTGGGTTTCTTGGATCCCCAGAAAGACAGGATTTGGAAGGGTAAAACGGAACCACAGATGCAGAGTCCTGGAGAAAACAATGAACATGAACATGAACGATGGGCTCATCAAAGGGTGGTTATGCAGGAAAGGCTCTGCAGGTGGAGGAAGATGACTGGGAAGGTTCTCCAAAGCCAGGTTTAGACCTCTAGGGATGACAAAGGCCCTCCACCTGAAAGGACCCTGCTGGAATTCAGGTATATTCCAGGGAGAGCATCCTTTTCTCCTGCTCACTGCTTCTGCTCCCCTCAGAGTTCATCTGCATGCACAGACCTCCCCTTGCCTCTACCGCCCCTGCAGCAGATTTAGAGTTCAGGAGCCTGAATTCAGGAATGTGCAGACCACCGGCAGAACTGCTGCTCACACAAAAGAAGTCCGGAGGGGGTCGATCAGGAAGCAGATGCTGGCCCTCACCGGGAGTTGGGAGCTTCGGGAGCAGGGGAAGCTCTAGCAGATGTCCTATCTTTATAAGGCTCACAAACTAAGGCCCAGCAAGAATTGCCAAAGTCATCCAGTCGGGTGCAGGTTGGTGGCGTCACCGCTCCAATTCGTACATGTCCTATAGGGACCAGAACTCCTGTGGTCCCGACCCTTGGAAGAGGAGTGATCACAGGCCCTTAGGTAAGTGTGCTTCAAGCTTCCTTGTAAGGATGATAGCTACCACACGGCCAGTTCGCAGCTGTGCAAGAGAACCTTGCAAGAGGCTACACACACTTGGCGGGCTGGCGGGCTCCACGCAGGCCAAACAGTTCCATCAAGTTAGTCCCGCTGTTGAACGCGCAGTGATCCCATAAGGATCGCAAGGAAAGACGCCTCGGTTTAGAAATAATAGTTTCTCTTTTAAATTCCCCAAATCTTCCCTCCTATGAGGGCTGGCTGCCAGGAGGGAGAAGGATAGGTGGATCTGGAAGAGTAAAGCAAGCTCCTCGCTTAGGAGTCCCTGCCTACCCGAGGCGGCCGGGGGTTGCTGGAGCCGCGGAAGTGCTCCCGCTGAAGATGCTCAGCAGCCCCTGGATTGCATGCGGAGGAGAAGGGAGTTCAGATTTCAGCCAAGCTTGGGTGCTGGAGAATTCCTAATTCAGACAAACAGGAATCATGGGGGAAATGCTGGGTTGGGTTGTCGGGATGTGTCGCTTGTGCTATTATTAATCCGCACTCCGAGCTCATTAAATTCCTCCCTGAAACTGAGACCTTGGAAAAGCCTCCATAAGAACTGGAGACGGAAAAGCGCCCCCACCCCCACCCCGAGCCCGCGCCCCACTCCCAGCACCTGCCCCATGTCCAACCCTCTGGGCTTAATCTCCCATCCGATTTCTTCCCGCTGCCGAAACCACTGGGTCAGCCTTCCAGACTTCAAACGAAGTCGTTTATTTCAATTTTGCTTTCACATTGTGTCCCCATACAATCAAAACGCCCGGACGAACCTCTCTTGGATCAAAGTCAGTGAATGAGTGGAAATACAGATCCTGGGTGCCCCCGGTAGCTCAGCGGGCAGACTCCTGTTTCAGAGACCTTGGTCTTCTCTGCAACTGCGGAACGACAAATCAGGAAGACCCAGGGGCAGAAGGCGTGGCCAGGCTGCCGCTCAGGGCCGGATGGTATGAGTCCTTAAATTGGGATCGTTCTTGGGAACAGCCAAAACTTTGTTCCCATGCAGCAGGCGCACCTGGCCTAGCACAATTTCGGTCGTATTTTTTACTTTTGCGCCAAAGCAAGGAGTATAGGTTAGCGGGCGGCAGGCCTCAGTCCTAGTTGACCGCAGGCTTGACTTAGCGGGCTGTGGGAGATGCTCCAGTGCACTTCCCAGGTTGCGTTCTCCCAAGTGTCTGGCACCTCGGAATCTTGCCCTTCCGCGCTGCCCCAACCTAGCAGCTGCGAAAGATACAGAGTTCAGAAAGCTGCCTCAGAAAAAAAAAAGTCCCACGTCAATTTTATTGGGTTAAAGCAAAATTAAAACTTGGCTGTTCACACATACATTACAGAGGACGAGAAAGCGTCCGGAAAGAACCTCCTGGCGTTTGGTTATGCCACACAGTACAAGGGCATAGACAAGCATCAGAACATTAAGCAGCCTTAGAGTTCACCATCACCCCAAAGAGAACATAGAACTAGGGGAATACAGTCAGTTTCCACCGGGAAGATTTCTTCGTGTACAAATGATATATATTTAACTCTATATATATACTTTTTCAAACCAATGACCACGAAGATGAGTCCTTTCTCTGCTATCAAGCAGCCAGGATACAAAGTGTATTCATCTAATTAAGTTTTGAGCATCTTTTAAAAGAAGAATAGCATTTGCCAAATTAAAGCTACCTCCCCAATCCAAAAACAAAAGTAAACACCGTCCCCAAACTGAAGAAAAACAAAACAAAAACGGGGGTGGCCGTATTCAATTTCAGTACATGGAAGGGTTCAGAAGGGAATTGGGACGGAAATATTTTTCACATCATACAGTGAAATACAAGGTTTCTTTTAAATAAATTATGGGGAACATAAACGTGAGGGTAGAAACAAGGACAAGACAGTCTCTTTCATGATACTGTAACTGGAATGGGGGCAGGGAGTTTATTTTTGGAAATGGGAGTATGCAGAACTAAGCAAATTTACTTCTAATGAGGAAGCGGACAACCACTTCCGACCACCAGCCCAGCACCTTTACTGCACACAAGCTGGGCAACGCGGGGAGGAAGTCTCCAGTTGTGCAGGGTGATTACACTCTACATCTTAGACTCTGACTCCCTCCCCTTCTGCCTTGGCCCTCACCCTGCCTCCGTTCTCTAAGAGCCAGTCAGAGGGGAAACACCAGGAATCCCGAAAAGGTTGAATACTTCCAGCCTCCCATCAAGTTTCCCCGCTCCAGTTTGAGGTATGCGCGGTCGCCTTTTTCCATCTGGATTAGGACTCCATTGCTGGCGGCTTCCCGGGTCACGTCTTGGTCACCGGCGAAGGCTGAAATCACTGGCCACCCATTTAACATGAGGCTCACCTGAGAAAAAGAAAGAGCAGCTTCAGCGGCACAGTGACTAAACCAAAGCTGCTGGGCGAAGAGCCATGAAGACCTGGAAGCACTGGGGAGGGGGCAGGAAGAAAGACCTTATATTTTATCTGCTAAGGGTTCACTGGGGGTGACCAACAGCTTCTGGGTGAGAGGTAGGGCCCGCCTGCCAAAGGAGAATAGCTCATCCGGTTTTCTCAAACTAAGCGCGCCAAGGGAAGCTGGGCTGAAATTCCCAGTTTCATGAGCCTGCTAGTGGCCCAAGTCTCTTTCTCCTTTCCCCAAGCGGGATCTGCTCCCAAGGACTTTGAGGAAACACCCTTTCCTCTGGTCCTGGCTTCCTCCTCCCCTTACCGCACAACACAGTAGCGTGGCCGGGGTTTCTAGCTGGCTGAAAACCCCGCGCCGAGCTGCATTCTTTGTCCAAAGCTCGGGCTCCATTCCCGCCCCAGACCAACCCGAGCCCGACATTCCCTGGCTTTGCCTTCGCGGTGGCACGGACAACCTGAGGCCAGCGCCTGCCACCCCTTCGCAAGTCCCGCCGTCTGCCTTCACCCGGAGGGGACTTGGATACATTTGGGGACCTGGAGAACTGGCCTAATGTGGACTGATCAGAAAGGAGGGGCACTACGTCCCGTCTCTTTTCTCTCCTAGTTGTAAACCTCTAGTCGGTCGCCGCGGCTACCACCGCCACCACCACACGCCCACACGTCAGTGACCCTGTCCGTGGTGCTGAAGGCAAGCACACCGAGTGCTTGATTTTAACTCGGACAAAGACTAGCAGTGCGAAGTGAAGATAAGGGTTTCGGGAGCCGGAGCTGTCCGTGGTACTGCCCTCCAACGCCCAGGGACGTCCTTGGAGTCCCTTAGGAGGCCAGGGAACCTCGTCGAAGAGGCTCCGACCAGGAGGTACTAAACTGTCTCTGGGCAAGGGGTTAGGCCCCAAGAGCGAGCCGGCCGCCGGGAAAGCGAAGAGACAGTTCAGCAAGGCCCCGACACCCGTCCTTTCTAGCAGCCCTGGGCAGGTGTAGCTGTCACCTTCGTCTCTACCCCGATGCCGCCCCCGCGCCCGTGTAGCTAGAAACCCTCTCCGGGGGCCGGGCCAGAGCCCGCGGCGGCAGCTGACCTGGATGGTCTGTCGGTTGTAGACTTTCACCACATGAAAGTTAAAACTGTAGATCCCCTTGCGCGGGGCAATGAAAGTGCTGCGCTCCGAATCAAAGTTGTTCCCGATGTTCACTAGTACCTAAAACGAGACAGGAATAGGGGAGAATGGTCAGGGCTCCGCCCGGACCCCTGTCCCTGCGCCTCCGCAGGACCCTGGGCGAGGGTCCCACATAAGACCCCCACTCCCACCCTACCCCAGTCTGCACAGGGGTGGCGGGCTGAGGCAGGGGGGCGTGCACTCACCTGGTCGAAGTATATGATCATGGTGCGGTTACTCATCTCGGACGGTTCGTGGTTGGTGCTCCTGATGGCCGAGAAAGCCACCTTGGCGCTGCCGGAGCGCACGGAGATGCCGAGAGCCGTGCCCGTGGGGTCTGACGTGGGGTTGGAGTCGCACACCACCAGGCACTTGCCCTCCAGGACGATGGGCTCCGTCTCGTTTTGCCCGCGGGCCGGGCCCGCCAGCCACGCCGCCCCCAGCAGCAGCAGCTCCACGACGGCCAGCATCGCGGCGTTGGCGCCCACCCCGCCCCCACCCCCGGGGCTGCCTACGCCAGCCGCCCCCGCCCCCCCTTCCCCAGCCTGCTCCGAAGCCCCCTCCTCAGCTCCCCGCACTCTCTGCCCACGCCGCTCCGGGCGCTACCGCGCTTCCTAGCACTCCCCTGGCAAGCTTCCCCCGCGGTGCTCCGGAGCCCCGCCCGGGCCTCAGGGGTGCCGCGGCTGTCCGACCGCACTTGGATGCATAGCCGCAGCCGCTTGATGCACGCTGCCTCCGCCTCCAGTCCCCACCCGCCGCTGCCGCCGCCGCCGCCGCTCTGAATTATTGATGCAGCCGGCGCGGATGCCGGAGCTGGGGGAGAGCGCGCGCCCGGCACAAAGGCGCGGACCGCGGCCTGGCCCCGCCCCGGCCCCCTCCCTGCCGGCCTCCCAGCATGGCCCCGCCTCCACGCCGGCAGAGGCCCCGCCCCCTAACCAATCCCGGAGCGCCGCGCTCCCCACCGGGCCAATGATGGCGCTGTCCGCACGCGGCCACCTGACCCTGGGCGCCGTTGTTATTAGGCGCGACCAGGCGGGCGGCGCGCGGCAGCTGGGTTGGGCTCTGGCCGGGAGTTGACTGAGGGAGCGAGGGCGGGGACCGCGCGCGCACTCGCGCCTGGACCGTCAGCCGCGGCCGCTTACCCTCTGGCTTCCCGCCTTTCACCACCAACCTGTTCAGCCCTCACAGCCCTAACCGCCCTTACGGCCCGCTTCTCCAGCCCTCAGGTAGGAGGCAGCGAGGGAACCGAGCGTGGGGAGTAGAGTGGCCGGGGTCACTAAGGCTCCCCGCTCGCGGGAGCGCAGCGTCCGCTCGCGGACGCGAGGGTGGGCGGGGAGCGCCCCCCAGCGGGCGCAGGTGCGAGGGGGCTGTCGGTGCGCGGAGCAGAGAAGCCAGATCGCGCGGCTACCAGCAGCGTCCTGGGAAGGGCCGCGGCCTTGGGGAAGCGGGTGCAAGTGGCGCCAAGCAAGCACCGCTGGACTCCACCCTTTGCCAGTGCCTCCGAGGGAAGTCTCAGTGCCCTCTGGCCGGCCTGTAGCCAAGAGGGTGGGGCTCGGCCTCTCAACCCTTCCCTGCCTCTTCCAGCTTCTGTTCTGCCGGCCTTCATTAATTCCACACAGATCCCGGAGGAAGTATATGGCTCCGTGCTCGGGGCTGAGATTTGGCTGTGGCAAAATCAGACCAGACACTTGAGGCACCTACCTAGCAAAGGAGGGTGTGTATGTGTGTGTGTCCGTATCAGGTACAGGGCGTTTCAGGCAGACTCATTTACTGCTACCATTTTGCTCTTTTGCATTTAATTTTTTTTGCAACAGTACTTTTTAATTTATTGTACACCGTGAGTGCGTGCTTTTACCCATGTGTACCTGATATCACTGTCTTGGGTACAGACATCAAATCCTTTGATTTATGGACTATGTTACAAGGGCAATTTTTATTGTAAAGGAATTTTCTCCCTACGCGTTAGCATTACAAACACACGTGATTAAAACGTGAAAGTAAAATATTAATAATAATAACCATACATCTTTGTTAGGTAGGTGTCCATGGTCACGTAGTGTTTACTCACATTGGGCTGGGATTTGAAAGGTCTGCAATTCGAAAACCACCTGCCGCTCCGTGAGAAAAAGACCGGCTTTCTACTGCCATAGAGTTACAGCCTCTGAAACTCACAGGGCCAGTTCTACCCTGACCTACAGGGTCGCTATGAGTCAGCTTGCATTGAGGCAGTGAGAGCTAGGTGTCTGGAGAGAGAGGTGCTGGTTTGAGAAGGGGTGTGTCCCAGTGCTAAGGCAGAGACCAGGAGAATAGCGAGGACATTATCCAGCCAGAGGGAGGCATAGATCTAAAAGCGCCAGCACCAGCCCTCTAGAAAGGGCGGGACCTGGTGGGATGCTGCCTCCTGTGGGCTCTGAAGACCTTGAACCTGAGTGCACAGCCAGGTCCCCTAGCAAGCGACTCTGCTGGCTGGATTTGCTGCCCTCTAGGGTATGCTTTCTTCCAGGCGCGGAAAGCCAGCCTGCAATCTCCAACCGCGCTGTGCCTTGCCACTTCACCACAGCCTTTGTTTCTGTGAGTTGTTGAGCTGCTAAACAATGGCAAGAGGCTATAATTTTAATTAAACTGACAATTTCCCCAACGCAGATCTCTTTGAGGCATTCCCCCCAAATGCTGCCTGCTGTGATTACTGCTTAGTTTAGAGCATGAACAAAATTAAAATGTGATATTGGAAGAGACTGGCCTCAGTGTAAGGGCCAAGGTTGGCAGCTATGGCAACGGCAGTTGCTTATTCTCTAGCGTCCCTATATAACATTCAGTTATGTACTGAGCGCCTCCTGAGTAAAGGATCCCAGGTTAATGCACTGGGCTGTTAACTGTGAGATCAGCAGTTTGAAACCACCAGAGGCACCCTGAGAGTAGAGGAGACTTTCTACTCAAGAGTTACAGTCTCAGAAACCCACAGGGGCTGTTCTACCCTGCCCTATAGGGTCACTATGGGTCATAATGGGCTGTGGCAGTGAGTTTCATTTTTTCCTGAGTGAAGGCAATAGAGACAGAGTTCATGAGTTCACAAACAGGGCAGACCACAGAGAGGGAGATGGTCACCAGCCCTTTCTTCTTCTCTTGTCAAAGTGGGCCTCTCTTACATCAAGCTAAGTCTCCATTTTGGGTATCCAGTCACATCTTCTCTGGGTCCAGACCTGCCTAAGAGCCACTCTTCATTTACACAATCTCCGCTCTGCACTCCCCATGCAAAAGTAAAGGAAGCCTTGCTTGAACTGAAATGGCATAAAGGAGCAATTGCCATTGATTTGGGGGGATTTTTTTTTTGAGCATTTCTACACCCATCATACTTTAGACAAGTTATCAGGAGAGACCAGACTCTGGAAAAGAACAACATACTTGGTAAGTCAAAGTTCTTGTTGTTAGGTGCTATCCATTCTGACTCATGGTGACCCTACATAACAACAAAACACCTCCCAGCCCTGGCGCCACCCTCACTATGGTGTTTGAGCTTATAGTTGCAGCCATCATGTAAGTTCATCTCATTGAGGGTCTCCCTCTTTCTCCCTGGCCCTCCACTTTACCAAGCATGACATCCCCTAGAGACTGTTCTCTCATGTCCAAAGTACCTGAGAAGTCTTGCCAGCCTTTCCTCTAAGGAACATTCTGACTCGATTTCTTCTGAGACAGATCTGTTTGTCCTTTTAGCAGTTCATGGTACTTTCAATATTCTTCACCAACACCATAATTCAAATCCAGTCTTCCTTATGCAATGTCCAACTTTCACATTCATATGAAGCAACTGAAAATGCCATGACTTGAGGCAAACGTGCATTAGTCCTCAAAGTTACATCCTGCTTTTTCAACACTTTAAAGGTCTTGTGCAGCAGATTTATCTAATGCAATGTGTCTTTTGATCTCTTAACTGCTGCTTAATGTTTATCATGATGTTACCTATTGGTCCAATTTTGAGAATTTGAGCTTTCTTTACATTGACTCGTATTCTATATTGAAGACTGCTATTCTTGAGCTTCATCAGCAAGTGCTTCAAGTTGTTTCATCTGCATATTGCAGGTTGTTAATAAGCCTTCCTCCAACCCTGATGTCACACCGCATTCTTCTTCTTATAATCTACTTTCTCTGGTTATTTGTTCAGCATGCAGATTCAATAAGTATGATGAAAGGATGCATCCCTGATGCACATCTTTTCTGATTTTAAACCATGCATGTTCTGTTCACACAACTGCCAACTGCCTCTTGATCCAGGTACAGGTTCTGCATGAGTGTAAGAAAGTTTTCTGGAGTTCCCATTCTTCTCAAGATGATCCCTAGTTTGCTATGACCCACACAGCAGAGGGACAGCAAAAAGAGGATGATCCTCAGTTAGGTAGATTGACACAGTGGCTGCAACGTGGGCTCCAGCATAGCAATTGTGAGGATGATGCAAGCTTGTGCAGTCTTGAATTACATTAACTCGTATTCCATATGTACACAGGGTCACTACAAGTCAAAACTGACTCGATGACAATTAACAAAAAGACCCATCATAACAATAACACATAAAACCTAAAAAAATCCCAACATCTAGTAAAATATAAATGATTTTATAAATACAAAGCCTGTATAAAGTAGAACTCATGTGTATAATGTAGTTCCCAGGGAATGGATTTTGAGGTTCCACTCACCTCGTGCTGTTGGAATATAGGCTACCTCTTTATTTTTTTCCAAATCAATTTATTGGGACATAGTCCAGACATCCTACTATCAATAGTTCAGTCATCAGCCTCTTTAGTGCCATGCTGCAAAACAAACACTGAACATTTTGCTTTTTGCCTTTTTTCATAAAAGCTAAAATACTCTTCAAATTTCCTTTAGTTATTGAAAAGAGGTACTAATGTAGGTCTTTTATGAATGCAGAATGAGTTACTTGCAAAAAGCAGATGATACTTGTATACCTACAGGCAAGTTTACCTGACCCCTACTTGTTTCCCTCGCTTCTTCCCAGATTGTGCCTTGTGTGCTTTCCCCGTCCCAATGACAACAACAGAACCTCATAAATGGGAGGAAAAATCCCAGACTGTACATGTAACTTGATTCTCTCTCTTTGTCTTGCTTGAATCATTCACAGAGGGCTGCCTTCTTTTTTTCTTCACCGTGCTGACTGGTGAGGGCCATTGCAAGAGCCTTCTAATTAATTATTCAAGGATAAGTGCAAAAATCCCCCTCTGGTTCTATTCTTTCATTTGGTGAATTATTATTGAGGGTACTGAGCTACGCATTCTCAACTTTCTTCCTGTATAAGTAGGGCCCTCCATCGCCATGATATTTCAAATTGACTCACTCCTGACATTCCCCATCTCTTCCCCGTCTTCTCACCATGCCCTGCAATATTTCCTTTTAATATATTATGTTTGCTTATTTATTTTGTTTATGGTCCACCTCCTACTGCTAGAATGTAAGCTACAAG